CCCCAAAAAAAAAAAGTGCAGCCTTATTGCAAAACATAAATTTAATATGACACATAAGAGTCCTTAAGAAAGGGGAGGAGGAGTTGGGAAATGTATCTAAAGATGGAAAGGGATGTCATCTTATGAGACTAGAAATGAGATGAAAAGTGGTAGAGTCTGTTTCAGGAGTGGCTTTCATCAGTATTAGTTAAAATTGGAACAGAACAAAAATGTCTTTGGTGTGCTCTAGAACTGAAGGGGAACGAAATAACATGTTTTAGGTTAAAAAACCTGAAGTCCTTAAGATGTTTGCTTGCAGAAAAGCTAGTGATTTCTGAAGAGTTTTTTTCAGAATTTTAGTACATTCCATCTATTCTATGTCCTGTGGAATCTTCTGCTAAATTATCTTGGATACTGTGGAGCCTAGTGTTTTCCTCTGAAGGTAGTTGTTCCACTGTGAAGCCTTGTTCTGGAGTTGTGAGCTCTTGTAAGTATTGGGAAGAGCAGCTCTCAGCAACTTCCCAGAAGAGAAGTGGTTGGTTCTGCAGTCGCACACTAGCGACTTCAGAGTTTTTAGCTGACTGGTGTTTAACAGTTCCATGTCATTGGTTCCCATGTGTCAAAGCTGTAGGCTGCGGGTCCAGTCCTCTTGGATGAACAAAACTGTGTTATTAATTAAATATTTGCTGCTCTTTATTTCTTCCTTTTTTTTCTCTTGTTAAGGACTTTTACCAAAAGGAGTTGAAATTACAATACCACATTCTTTATCTAAGGCTGCTTTCTTTTATTTTTCTTTTATGGGTTTTGTTTTGTTTTTTTTTTTACTCCTCATATGGCTTCTCATCTCTGTCAGTACTTGAACTCTTAGAGGCACTGAAGCAGTAGAACACTGATGTCCACAGAAGAATTTGTAAATTGGTATAAGCCACAGATGGGACCTGTGAGAACGAGTAGCATGCTAGTCAGAGGTTTTACTTTTATGCACTGAATCATTGAGACAGCTCAAATCTGGTAGCTTCTTCCAATCTTCCAATGTTCTTTTCTTCATACAGGTAAAGCTGTGTTCCTGGCGCGAGACAAGCACCATTTGGCAGACCTAAGCCATTTGATTCGTCACGATGCCCCTTACTTATTTCAAAAATACGTTAAAGAGTCCCATGGAAAGGATGTACGTGTCATCGTAGTAGGAGGCCGTGTGGTGGGCACCATGCTCCGCTGCTCAACAGATGGGAGGATGCAGAGTAACTGCTCACTTGGTAGGAAAAGCATTGTTCATAGTTTTGATCAGAATCTTTCAATCCAGTTGAAAAATCACAAACCCAACTGAAAGAAGCTGCAGGTTTTATTTTGTTTTAATTGTGCTTACTGTTGGGGGTTTACAGAGGAAGCACAGGAGTGAGGATTAAGTGAGATGTGTGTGAGGGAGAGACAATCTCTGCCCAAGGTATTAGGTAGGTAGGATGGATGACAAGGAGGGGAAAATTCTAGGAACACAGACAGGGAAACTGATGTGGTAGTGACAGTGTCATGCTAAAGCCATGATAATCATACTGTTTAGAGGAACAGATAAAGAAGGAAGACAGAAAACTAGACTGAGGAAGGTGGAGGAGACAGCCAGTTGGCAAGAGGGTAGAAGAGGGTGTTGAGGAAGGAAGCTGTTGAAGGCAATAAACAGTAGGATCGCATTGTGCAGCTGCTGTGCTGCCTTAAGTCTGTCAGGTTCCACACTGCAACCTTTTCCCAAAATATCATGTCTGGGAGGAAGAGGAAGGTTACTGCATCGCTTACAGCATACTCAGAACTGAGTTTCTGCATCGCTCTCAGTGTAAGATGAGAGTTTCTGAGGGTAGAAGGAAGAAGCAGGGTTGAGGTTGCCTAGCTGAAACTGTACTGAACCTGATCAGGAGTGGGATAAAACATGTTCATGTGTAGTACAGTTTTGGTTGGTCAAAATGCCCAAAACGTGTGACAGGTTTTAGGTACTACTTGATGCTGAGGAAATACAGCCTGAAAGAATCTTCTGCTAATTTTTTTTGGGTTATTGTTTGGGGTTTTTTTAAACTTACGTATTGTGATGGATGTAGTCTGAGTTGGTTAATACTTAGATGATGGGCTGTAAACTGGACCAGCTGAGGTTCAGATACAAATGTTCCCTAATTCTTGCTTTAGAGACAGTAACCTATGATAGCACACTGAGAGGGACATGATAATGTCTTAACCTCTGTCCCCCTCAATTATGTCTGTTGGGTGTGTAGTCTTATCAGGAACACTTGGTTTAATTTTGCTGAAATATTTCTTGTGATAACCTACAAATATATATGGAAAGCCTTTACCTTAGAAGGAACAAGTGTGTTTTGTTAGGCCATCTTTTTAATATCCCAGGATCATAAAAATGTATGATAACCTTCTTGACTGAAAAGTCAGCACTTAACTGTTTGGTTTTTGTTATTTGTTTGTTTTTTTTGTTTGTTGGGTTTTTTTTTTAAACGAGTCAGAATCTTTTCAAGTCCTGCTGTGGCTTCAGGTTCATTAGTAGTCACTGTGGAAAGAAGGTTGTTTTCTGAGTTGTCGGCAGTATCCTTGCAGGCTGGCTTTGGGCTTTCCCAACTAAAAAGCACCAACCACTTGAGAAAGGATGTCAGTCACCTGTGGCCAGACTACAGACAGCAGGGTTTTTTTTTTTCTCTCTTTCCAGGTGGCGTAGGGATGATGTGCTCACTGAGTGAACAAGGCAAGCAGTTGGCAGTCCAAGTGTCAAACATCCTGGGGATGGACGTGTGCGGCATTGACCTACTGATGAAGGACGACGGTTCATTCTACGTCTGCGAGGCCAATGCAAATGTAGGTTTCATTGCCTTTGACAAGGCTTGTAATCTAGATGTAGCTGGTATCATAGCGGACTATGCCGCTTCTCTCCTTACCCCCGGTCGCTTGACGCGGCGCATGTCCTTGCTCTCTGTGGTGTCCACGGCAAGCGAGACTAGCGAGCCAGAGCTGGGCCCTCCAGCTAGTGCCGCTGTCGACAATATGAGTGCTAGCTCCAGCTCTGTCGACAGCGACCCTGAGACCACGGAGAGAGAGTTGCTCACCAAGCTCCCGGGGGCTCTATTCAACATGAACCAGCTATTAGCCAATGAGATCAAACTTCTTGTGGAGTGATGCCACGTGTAAATAGATGACCAACAGAACTCTCTCTTGTAAATTTTTTTTTTAAAACCAACTTGCAATGCTGTTTATCAGAGAAGCTCAGAGGAATGAGGAAATGGCAGGGGTGGGGAGGGGGGTGGGGGGGTCAATCAAGAGAGCAAAAGGCACATGTGCTGTGATTGCTGCCCCTACTTTTTTGCAGAACATAAAATTGTTTTCATTCTTCAGCATCAGTTTTCTAATGAAGATGCTCAGTTCACAACCCAAATGGGAATTTTATTTGGATGCTGCTTTGTTCCCCAGATGTATTGCAGTTCATGTGTGTTCACAGGCAAGCACTAAAGCATGATTCACACTTGAAGATTTTCAGAAAGCTGTCTGTTCAGCTCTCTAGAAACTTCTGTGAATTACTGCACCAGTTAAGTCTCTTCTACCTCTGTAAGGCTTGATCCTGTAAATTGCTGAGTGCCTCAAATCCTCAATGTGAGTTGAAGGTGTTAAATACCAAGTATATCAAAGTTCCTGGATACCTGCTGTTCCTACTGTTGTAGATGGAAGCTGTAAGTTCAGGATCCTTTTAAAGTCATCACTTTCTGACATTGCAGGATATGGCCTTTCAAATGATGAGGCTGAGAATTGTCAGTTGACTTAATGTGAGCTTTCTGTATAAATCTGTAATTTGTGCCATCTTGGTATTAATTGGCAGCTTTGTATCTATAAATCTTTATAAAGCTTTTGAAGGAGGATTTTAGTACTTGTGTTTTTCTCATTTCAAATCCTGATTTTGGAAGGTACGTAGGGGAATTGGTCATACTCTATTGGTGGCAGAAGTGGCACGTTTTAGCTATTTTTTGCATGATTGAAGGAGATAAACAGCACTGTAGTGTTTGGTATACAAAATGTTTAATCCAATGTGAAAAAGAATTACACTAGTTTAAAGCAAACGTGCATCGACTTGTATTTGTTAGTGTTTTAGTCTTTTTGAGAGAGATCTGCAATGTTAATGTTCCTTTTTCTTTAATACATACTAGTCCAACACTCCCTTCTCTATGCCTGCATCTTTAACAGTGGCCAAAGTGAAAACACTGCAGACTATTTGTTAAGAAAACACTGAGTTAAAAGCCTGTACATTGGTGGGGTGGGTTTTTTTTGTTTTGTTTTTATTTTTTGCCTTTTTTGAGGGGGGAAACATGGTAAGGTGTGGAGGAGGGAAGAGTTGGTTAAAAGTGATTAGACATCTAGAGGTACTTTAGAATAAAGCTGCAGTTCATACAATACTTACCAGGCTTACTTTTTCCCCACTGATCATAAAAGCTGATGTTGGCAGAAATCCAAAGAGTATAAAACTGGGGAGAAATAATCGATTCTTAGCTTTGGGAAACATGCAGCAGATTTAAAAAAGAAAAATAAAAAAAAAAAAAGAAAAAAGGACAAAAAAGAAGAGAGCTCAGTCAGAATTAAGGAAAAAAAAAGATATAACCTAGGTCCACAAACAATTAACAGATTGATCCTGGACCCTTACGTGTGTGTGGTGTGAGTGCACACACTTGTGTGTGTTTGTGTGTGTGCATTTGCTTTGCTTTATTTCCTTTCGGGTTTTGGCTGTTTAGCTCCTAATTTTTTTCCAGGCTGCCTGATTTTCCTTAGTCCTTCTGGCTGTGCATTTTCTCATTAGCCTTGAGCTGTTTTGGAAAACAGATAGCCAAAATAGCTACCCATTTTTCAGTCCCTACCTTTCCCCTCCTTTTCCTCCTTCTTCTCCTCCCTTTTCATTCCTTTCTCATTCTCTGGGTTCATAAAGCCCTGGAACTATAGATATATATATATATATATATATATAAAGATAAGCCTCTTTTTTTAAAAACAAAAAGTAAAATGTTTACAATTGAAAAATAATCTTGTGAAAATAGGGTTTGTTTGGAGGGGGGTTGTGTGTGTGCAATGCTGCTGTTTTCTGGATACTTTAATGGAGCATGTCCCATGTACCCTCTGAGGCTCTGCACTGCCCACCTCTGTGGCCCTTCCTCACCTCTCTGCTGCTCTGCTGTTTTATCTTCACTTGGACCTTAAACACAACTCACGGACACTATGCAGAGGAGTCTTCAAGAGGCAATAAACAGAACAGTATTAACCTGCTTTATGGAGGTTTGATCATGCTTCTTTGTACAGTTTGGTTTTTTTATTTTAAAAGGAATGTAATAAAATGGCTTTTTTTTTGTAGAATTAAATATTATTATTAAAATCAAGTGAAAGGTTGACTGTTGGTGTTAAGCAGCAGAGTGGACCAGCTGGTCCAGCAAGAAAAGGAACTTCAGCAGTAAAGGTATTTTCAAATCGTTCCTCCTGAGCCTTCAAGTGCACAGGTTATACCTGAAGAATATAAAGGTCTTTAACTTCCATGAAGAGCCACAGAACCACAGAACATGAAAGAAACCTAATTTTCTAGTCACTGAGCAGTAAAGCCTCTCTTCCAGGGACTCTTCTCCCCTTGCTTGTTTATCTAAGGGGAATTTGGGTGGTGGTGTGGGTTTTTTTTGTTGGGTTTGTTTTTTGTTGTGTTGGTTGTTTTTTTTTTTTTTTTTTTTTACTGGTAGGTGCCTGCACTCCTTGAGAGGCTGATAGTGTCAGTCCTTCCCTTTTCAACTGTGGCACACATTGACCACGTGGAATAACAGCAGGGAGTAAACGTGTTAGTTGGTATAGTGGGACCTCTGTATTGCTATCACAGGAAGCATCTGTTAAAGGAAAGAGCTGGTAACTGAACATTCTGGACTATTTTTTGAGTCTCCATAGTATTTTGTGGCTCACAAGAACTTTACATTCCTATCACCCTTTCAGAATGTCCAGGTTACACCTTACAGTAGTAAAATTTGTGAAGTAAACATTAAGATTTTTTTGAAAGACAAACAGATTTGAGAGATTTACAGTTTGGCTCCTTTGGGATAAGATGCTCTTCTGTGGCTGGTGCTTCCATTGCTAGTTTGAGATACGTCTATGCATAGTGGTCAGGGAGGGACACAGGATTTAAAACATCATGTACCATTGTTTGGACACTGGGTGTTGATATGGCATGAAAACCTTGCTTGAGGGTTCACTGGTACAAAGGGGCACACTTGTCTCGTGTATTTACTCCCTACTTACCCATTGCTCCTGAAATAGTGACATGTATAGAATGGGTTGGGGGTGCGAGGGGATATCTTGTTTTTACTTAAAGGGAAAAAAACCCACCGACAAATCTAGCCTGTGATAACCAGGCAGGGTTTCCCATTGAAGGTGAACTTCACAGATGTCAGCTTTATACACTGTATTTCCTTCAGTTCCATATGCTGAAAAACACATGCTAAACTTTCATACAGTTGCACTAACACTATCTCCGTATGTTGGTTTAGAAGCATGTGCTGAAAAAATGGTCAACATAGTGCTGGATCACAATAGTGCTAATACAGCTGATGGTGATACAACTATTTTTTGTATATTGTAATGTTTGAAAGAGCCAGTTAGAAACTCTTGTTTGCAAGGATTTCCTTAAACTACATCTGATGAAATTTTGTTATTTGTAACCCTGGAGATTTTCTTCTGTTCAACTTACCGTGTTTATAATTGATGTCTTCCTATGTCAATGTATGAATTGTATCTTAAGCCTTGTATTTAATGCTTTAATGTTGTTTTATAAAATCTTTTCTTGGAATGATCCAACACCTCATCCGTAACACATTGTCAATGCTTGATGCATATCCGGACTGTTAATGTTTTTGTTCTGAGCTTATGGTTGCTCTTGGAGTGTTTTCTCCCACTTCATGTGCTATCTCTCATGTGTGATACTTGCTCAGGAAATAACCTCTGGAACATCTGTGTATGTCAGACGCAAAGGAGATGCTTCTTCAGATGTTATACTGGACTTCAAAATCCAACAAATGAAACCAGTGACGTTTGCTAAATATTTTCTCCCCCTTATTGCAAATATCTGTCAGTTAAATACATAAGGGACCTTAAGGGCTTAGAGAGACTTTGAAAACAAATCACCTGCACAGTATCTTTCTCATGGCTCACTCTTTTTGAGAAGGTTTATGGGCTTTATGGCTGGTGTGAGACACAAGACCCACTCCTGTTCTCTCTATGGAATAGTAGGTGCTCGGACAGGTAACTTCTGTTGCTACTGTCTTTTTTCATTTTTAATTTTTTCACTGTTCTAGGAATTGTTTTAAACTGAACACTACAGGATTTATAACCAGATGTTTGCTGCCTTTTTCTTTGTTTTATTTCTTTAAGTCTTTCTTAACCTTTGAGGGTGACTTTTGGAGCATTCTGATGGTGGATCTTGGCCTGCTGTTGGATGGCTCCAAGCCTCATATACTTCCAGTTTGAGTTGAAAAGTTTTTGGGTTTTTTATTTGTTTAAACCAATGACACAAATTAAATGCTTGAATTTCGGGTGGGATTTGTTGCTCTATTTTGTGTGACTTATTCTCCCTTTTTTTACAGAAATGTGTTCTAACAGTTCACACTTTGTTACTGTTCTTTGCAAAACTTTTCAGGAGCCAAAAAAGTCAAACAATCCAGAGAAAACCTTCCCTTCTCCCCTTTCCGATGGCAAGAGTGAGAACTTATGAAAAGTCCTTGAGAATGTTCCTTCCTAAACTTTTCCCCCCAGTAATGCAAGCGGGTAAAATGGTAAATGCAGCAGTTTGGTGACATCCAAAACCGACCTGTTGTCAGGTAAATTGACTTTTTTCTGCTCTTACTGTAACCTTCGTAAGTTTGCTAACTTGTCTGCTTTCCTTTCTTCCCATCAGTTCAGTTTGATGAAACTTCTTGAATGATTTCTTTAACAGTGATCCTTAGAGAAAATCGTACTTCCTTATTTCCCCTCCTTATACATGTTGACCTTTAAGAAAACTGTCATTGTCCTTTGCTTTACTCAGATGAGACAAAAGTGAGTCCCCTCATGTAAGTATATGAGGGATAGTTTTGTAATACGTTAATTCCACCTCCTCTATCACATCAAGGTAGTTTGCCTTCAAGTGTACTCTTTTAGCTTAGGTTTTTGAAAGGTATAATGCTTTTCATTTGCCAGGTGAACATAAAATATAACTGCATCAATTAGGAGTTGATAGGTATGAAAAACTAGTCCTAAGAATGTTAAATTAAATCTGTTAAAATTCAATAGAGCAGGATCCTGTAAAGAGGACAAATGGGAGAGTGTGTGCTAAAGAAAAAGAATGTGGGGCTGACTGTTTCTGTTTGTGGATGATGGGGTGACACATTTATGTTGCCCTTACAGCTATATCTAAGTATTTGTACATTTTATCCTTCTCTGGTAATTCCCTCCCTTAATCTCAAACCACTTAAAAGTGCTGGGAACTCAATATTTTTTTTACTTCATCTGTGGAGGAGAATCTGTATTTTACTCAGAGGTAAATATCAGACAATTGGAATGCCATTCAGAGTGGAAGAATATGAGCCTTCAGATAGGCTTCCAAGTTTCCTGATGCAGTTATTTTATTTCCCATGACATCTGTAAAGAATTAGCACTTGTTTCAGACTTCTTCTTTCTGTGTACATTAATAACTCTTCTGTATCATCATAAAATAGTCTACTTTTCATATTCTCAATTTATATTTTCCTGAAACACAGCAAGTTTCTCAGCAATAGCATAAATTGCAGCTTCAAATTAAGGTGGGAGGGAATAATTTTAGAGCCAAATTTTGCTCTCAATTACACTGAGATAAAGCTGGAATCGCTCTGTGAAAGTCAGTGGAGTGATATCCAATTTCACTGGTATAATTGAGTGTATAATTTGTGTCTTTAATTTTACTTGCAAGATAATTTTACAGACCTGTTATACTTATGTTTCCAATGCTTTTTCCTTTCAGACACACCCACTTCTTGCGTCTCAGCACTGGGCAGGCCTATTCCTTTATTTGTGTATATTTTTGTGCATCAGCTGCTATAGGACACGGGTGTAACACTTTCAGGCATGTGGTTGGGTGTCTTTTTGGTGGAGAGATTTGTGGGTTTGTAATAATGTCTAAAAAATTTTCTTTTCCTCAAATTTGTCGAACAAATTCATGTTGGCTCACAGTTTTGCATCTCTAACCTGATTTTACATACTTTATGTGAAGATTTTATTGAAAGACAGACGGTACTAGTTCTTTGCAGTGTCTACAAGTGATCTTTGGTGGGAAGAGTTGGTCAAAATTTACTGCATTCTCCAGAAGTTTAACATTGCTTGAAAGGTGGTTTAACAGATCATGCTCTTTATGGAATGGCTTTCAGATCCTTATGTTGATCTTGGTTGTGCCCAGTGCTTTGCCTAGTGTATGGGGAAATGTTGTAGAACTTGAATAAGCCATGACATCTTAGACAAAGGATGATGATTATGTCCATGCTGAACAAGAACTTCTTCTGTATGCCCTTCTGCTGCAACAGAGTAATAAAA